GGTCCTCTGCCACCTGTACACACCCTGGCATTCTCTGATACTCCTAAGCACAAGACAAACCATCCACTCTCACATCTCTGTGCTTTTGCACGTGTAGAGTTTATTTTTCTCTTATCTACCTGGTCAAATTCTAGTTCTACCATTACTTCCTCTAGAAAGCCTTCCTTTAGCCCCAAATTGAGGTAATCTTTCACTTTTCTGTGGCCCCCTATCATTTATTTCAGACCTCTGTTAGTCCTGCATCACTGTGCACACTTATGAGCATTTTGGTATTCAGATAATTCAAGAAATGCCGTAATGTGCATTATCACAGAACAATATTAAAGGCCAAGAGATGTCTTGAAATAAAGAAATCCAGTCAGCTTTCTGTAACTCAGGGCTTCCCCAGTTCATTTGACTACCTATTGCCCTCTGCCCCCATATAAGGATTCGTATACTCAAAACTGGTATTCCAGGGAAGAGCATTTTAGGAAAAGTTGGTTCCTGTGATCTTTTGAAGGTCAGTGCCTGTTTCTATATCACCAAAGTATGGGAGAATGCCTGATGTTATCATGTGTTTGTTGAATGAAGGAATGAGTGAATAAACGAATGTTGAAGAAGCAGCCTCATTTAGTGTTCAAGCTGTGACTGGACTGACTATACAATCCCATGGGTTGCTGGAAGGAGGTGGACGGTCTCCTTAGACATCTTCTCTTAACTCCAGGGTCAGCTTTTGCTTTAACCCTCAGTACCGACATCAGGGGAGCAAGCAAAGCTAGTGGGCAGGCTGCCTGCCCTTGGGTAAAGACGCTTTCCTGTTTAAACACAGCCAAGGGAGAAGAGAAAGGAAGGAAAAGAATGTAAAGCATCTCCAAGGGAAAGGAGAAAGGAAGACGGGAAGGGGAGGAGGGGGAGAAGAGGAGAGAGCCAAATGCCTAGGGCGACAGTGACAGCACCCTCCCAGTCAGCCTTGGGGAACCGCAGGATGACCACACTACTATGCTCATCTCTGGCCTCTTTTCCTTACCACTTTATCCCCTTACTGCTCCTTTTTTTCCCCCTAATAGCATATATAATATACTTATCAGAACCAGGAGGACTCAACTTTTTTTAAATTCTTTTTTTTTCTTTTGAGACAGAGTCTCACTCAGTCACCTTGGGCTGAATGTTATGGCATCATAGCTCACAGCAACTTTAAACTCTTGGGCTCAAGCAATCCTCTTATCTCAGCCTCCCAAGTAGCTGGGACTGTAGGCACCCACCACAATGCCTGGCTAGTTTTTCTATTTTTTGTAGAGCCAGGGTCTCACTTTGCTTAGGCCGGTCTTGAACTCCTGAGCTCAAGCGATCTATCTGCCTTAGCCTCCCAGAATGCTCAGATTACAGGATAAGGCCGCTGCTCCTGGCTTGAGCCACTATGCTCAGCTAACATTTTTGAAATAGATCTCAGTGGGTGGCAAATTGGAGACCCTGTTACATAGTATTAGGCAAAGAGAGAAGTGTAAAACACTGGAACTCAAAGGCATCATGGAGATCATCAAATCCAAATTCCTCATTTGCAGATAGACAGATAGAGACCCTGAGAAGTTAGGAGCTTGCTGGAGGTAATACAATACCCTGATAAGTGGGCCTGGAGCACAGCAGCATTCCAACTCCTAGCTTCACATGCTTTCTCTATCCTTCATGGACACAAATATTGTCAGAATGTTCTACAGTTATGGGTAAACATGAGGAAGGGCTGCGGTATTACACTCTTCTCAGGACAGACTACACTTAGGTAACATAGTCAAATGGATGATTTGACACTAGTTTATAGGTCTACCTCTCCCAAGAAATGTGTCTCCCCAGCCAGCTGACCCTCGCCATCACTGAGAATGAAAACTGATGGGTTAAACAATTAATCACTATGTCATGACAGTGGCTACTCAGAGGATTTGACTTGGAAACTAATTTTTAAGTGATTCAAGAAAAGTTCTCTAACCCCTCTCCATAGTTAAACTTGCACCTCTGTGTAAATGTGACAATGACATGGAGAATTATTGCAATTTTAATGCATTAGCCTTTTAAGATCCTTTCCATTCTTTGCATTAGATTCTTAAGATACGACAGAAAAACATAACCGGGTGTGGTGACAGGCGCCTATGGTTCCAGCTACTCAGGAGGCTGAGGTAAAAGAATCACTTGAGCCCAAGAGTTTGAAATTGCTGAGCTATGATGCCACAGCACTCTACCCAAGGGACAGAGTGAGACTCTATCTCAAAAAAAAAAAAAAAAAAGACATGATAAAGAGTTTCAAAAGTAGCCTATTTTCATACATAAAGAAAAAGTCACCTGGATTTTCTTTTCTGAATCTCTCTCTCCCAAGAGATTGTTAGTACTTTAATCATTCAAACAAAGGTCTCAAGAGGTTGCGACATTTCATGATTGTTTTTTTGGGGGGGAGGGTTAATACAGTTGTCTTTTAAAGTAGCCATGCAGATTCCTGGGCTGTTCTGCCACCACCAGTTGTTATTTACTAAAGACTCCTTTATAGTGTGGTTTCTCCAACGGCCACAAGTGGAGGTGGGCTGTGCATCTTTAGGGTCATAACATGAAGTATACAGAGAGAAATGCCAATCTTTTGTCATTGTCACACATGTTAAACCTTGCTTTTAAAGGTAGGAAATATGTGCTTTTTTATTCTTGTGATACTTTACTGAGAATAATGGGTTTCAACTCCATCCAGGTTGTACTCAGTACTAATATGAAACCAGAAGATGATCTAATCCATTATTTCCTATATAGACACAGGAAAAGAAACTCAATTCAAGTTTTGGGGAAGGGGAGCAAGGCTAGGGGTATGTGGGCTCCCACTCAATGGGCAAGATGTAGGGGTGTATGGCATGCCTTTTGGATATAGGACATAACCAAAAGAGGGACTCTGCCTAACAAATTCAAATATTGTGACTTGGTTGTTTGAACCCTCCCATTAACCTGAAATAAAAATAAAATAAAAGTAGGAATTACTTTTCCTGTTTCTTATCTCAGTAAGGGACTCTAGACATATCTGAAGACACAGTTTCCGGGGCATTCTTTTGTACTCTTGTTCTACCTTTTTGTCCTCCCTTGGCTGAGATAATCATCGTTATGTTAATCCATCCAAACCCTCTGTGGTGATCATCTCTCCCCGTGCTCAAACACCTTTGGCAGCTTCCCATTGTCAATAAAATAAAGGTAAAATCTCTTGTCTGGCATTCAAGGCCTTTTAGAATTTGCCCTGACATTACTTTCTCAGCCATATCTCTCCCCCTTTTTTGTTGTGCATGGGCCTTCTCTTGTCTCTGCCTGTCAAAATTATACCCACACTTCAGTGCATTTTACTTTTATCACATCTTCGAGGAGCAGTAAGTGATCTCTTTTGTCTCTGAATGCCCACCATCTTTCTTTTTTGTGGGGGTGGGGGACTACTCTTACAGCACTTGACACACACTACCTGTCCTTACATCCATTTGTAGTAGAAATCTCTTTCCCTTTCTTGAATGTATGTACTTTGAAGCTGGAAAGAGGCCACAGGGGGCTTGTCTTTATCCCCATCATACTTGATACAGGATCAAATGAATGTAAATGTTAGATTCGAAGTTGGTTTTGTCTTCAACAGGCAAGCTCCGTGAGACTCCAATATTTTTACATATATTTGCTTATAAGCATTTTATTCTAAGAAGCTTAGACATGTTGAAAAAGGAATAGAATTTATAAAATGAAGGTTGCAAAATAGAAGTTGCCCACTGGGTTTTACCAGCAGATGTGTTTTGTTAGCCCACACACTGATTTTTAGAAAATATTCACCAACTTAAAAAAATGTGAGTAATTTCACATGAACACGAGGCCTTCCTGATTATCTAGGAATATCAAAAGCTAAGGCAACCTGGGCCACCATTCACTGGAGCTAAGCAGTCTTTGTACAAGGGCTCTGCTTTCTTATTTGCCCTAGTCCTCATCCAGGCCACGTATCACTTGCTTCTATCAGCTGCCTGACCCCTATAGCAAGTTGATGCTGAGACTCTGGTTATAAAGGAGGAAACAATGGAAGCAAAGAGAATAGTAAGACCAAGATGAGGACTGCCTAGAGCCAAGATGAGCTGAAGGATGGACACTTTTGAGGAAAATTTGCAGACACGATTAAAAATATTTAGAAGAAGACAAATTACAGTGAATGAGGAAAACAGTAAAGAATGATAAAATGTCATCATGTTTTCCAGCATGGGGATACATAGTCCGCATGGGCCATTTACTAGGCCTGTGTAGATCACCGTAGTGTCCGCCACATGGAAAAGGATCTAAAGAGAAAAGTTACGATTTATAGCAGAACCAAAATTCTTATTCTTGTTGGAAGGCCAGCCGCTAGAAGCTTCTTGCTTCTTGGAGAAGACCTTGGAGTTGAGGACTGGAATGCCTTGCAATTGTGGGGAGACCTAGGCTTTTACAAAGTCCCCCAAGGTCTAGTGATAAACCCACAGCGGTAATTCACAAATAAGCAAACCCTTGCCGGGGTCTCCCTCCTGTGGAGACTTCTCATTGATAATGTAACCTCACCTCCCCATCTCCCTTGCAGATAACCAACCTACGTGGCCACTAGGGGGCCCTGTTGCACACCATCACTGCCACTAGGGGAGTTCTCCAGGTTTCCTTCCTGGCCTTCCATCTATATTTAGTGATAATCAACCTGGACTCTTCCAGCCTTGACATCAGAAATAAGAAATATTGAACAAAAAAAAGATAAGAAAGCAAACCACATTGTGGAAATATAAAAATAGTAAGTAAGACCAGGTCGCAGCTAAAGAAAACTTTTAACCGGGTGGCCTTCCCCTAAGTCACAGAGCTACCTCACTGTCTATGCTTCCCTATTCTTCTGCCAGCCTCCTGTTCCCTCCTCATCCTCCTCCCTTCCTGTTCACAGAAGCCAGTGAGGTCACTGCAAGGAGCAAGAGGAGAAGGCAGAAAGATTCATCCTGGGCAAAGGACTCCATGTGCCCCCAGCTCACCCAGCTCACTCCTGAAGGTGTGATCCTGTGGGAGAACAGAGTGGGAGTTCCGAATATTTCCTCCTCCTACAAACCAGTTCACATTGGGGTTCCAGCGGTTCACAAAGCCACAGAGATGATTTTCTTCAAAGTCACATTCTGGCAAAAGAGAAATAGAAACACTCTTCATGGCGTGCGGTCACACCTGGGTATGCCATACTCACCGCAGAGTTTGCTCTTAGATACTCAGATGTTTCTCTCTCCCTTGGCCCACTAGAACCTTTTGACCAGGTGCCTCTGGACAATATTGGCCAAGAAAAGAGACAGATCCTATAATGAGTTGAGATTCTAATTTGTCATTGGCCCTTTGAACTGTGGCCCTTCCACTTAAGAGCCATGTAGTTTGCAGCGTGACTCATTAGCTTCTGTTTGATCAAGTGTGAAATGGGGACAATGTTTCCACCTCCTAGGGCTGTTGTAAATGTGGACAGCTCCCAGGACAGTGCCAGGCACATGGGTGGTGCTCAGAACAAGGTGGACATTTTTAACAGTCATCTCTTTTTCTTTCTTTCTTTTTTTTCTTTTTCAAGACAGAGTCTGACTCAGTTGCCCTGGGGTTGAGTGCCATGGCATCATAACTCACAGTAACCTCAGACTCTGAGGTTCATGCGATTCTCTTGCCTCAACCTCCTGAGAAGCTGGGACTAGAGATGCCTGTAATAATGCCCACCTAATTTTTTTAAAGATTTGCTCTTGCTCAGGCTGGTCTCACACTCCTGAGCTCAGTCAATCCACCCACCTCAGCCTCCCAGTGTGCTGGGATTATAGGCATGAGCCACCATGCCTGGCCTGTCATCTCTTTTTCAAAGCACTGTTCAGGATTATGCTTTTAGCTCTAAAAATTTTGTCTAACACCCTTTCTTGAGCTTGATGCCCCAGTTATCCATCCCCTTCTCTCCTGAGGGTAAATAAGACACCCAGAACTGAAGGGCATGTTTAATAGAGTCTAAGACCCCCTTCTTTCCTTATAAACAAGAACTCAGTCAAGAACATAGCATATACTATGCTCTGGGTCCCTTCTGCAGCTACGGAATGGAGAAGAGATAGAAGAAAAAGATCTCCTTTAGTGTCATTGACATGTTTGCCTGGGTTAAGTTGTTGCCCATTAATAAAATCCTTTAGTGGAAACAACAAACTCACAAGCTGGTACCTCTATTGACTCCAATACTCATGCAATTAAATTATGAAGTAGGATTGTGCTATCTATCTCCCACCAGCCCCTCCATATCTACCCTGTCTCCTACTTGCTCTGAACCATAGAGGTTGACCTGTCTGGACAGTATCAATGGGCTCCCCTGATTTCCAACTTCCTATTGGATTTGACAAATGGAGGACAGAGGCAGAGGGAAATCAGGGGTTCAATCCCTCAGCCCTCTCTCAGTTGGGTTGTCCTGGGTTGGCAAATCTTATCAAGCAGTCATACAGCTACTGATCCCAGGCTCTTCCTCCTCCTTTATCTTTCAGACCTAAAGAGGATAACAGCTCATAAATCAACAATGTTACTGGTCCTGAGTTGCATGAATCAAACCAGCACTGTCCCTTGTTGGTTTCCTTTAGCACTGACATCTTTGCCGTCTCTTTAATGACAATGAGCTTTTCTCAAATCACACAGGTCGAGTAGACCCTCTGCTTCTACCTCCCTGCCAGGATCTGGACTGCTATAATTATCAGCATGTTTTTACATTAGCAGGCATTGAACATTTTTAAGTTTACATTTTCAATTTTTTTTTTCACCATGGCATCCACTAACCAGTGTTCAACATTCAGAGCTAAAGCCTCCCATAGGGGAAAATAAAAACAAAACATTCCTGAATGTGCCAGGCTCTATTCACAGTCTCATTAGTCCTCAAAAGAATCCCACCAGAGGAGCGCTTCATCCTCATTCACAAGTGACTATAGAGGCTGAGAGGACCAGTAGGCTGACTGCGCCAGCAGGTGGCCTCGGGCAGGTGTGTGTGACTAGTGTGCATCTGGTCCACGACCCACGCAGTCACCAGGCTGGACACCAGAGGGAGGCTCAGGAAGGGAGTCTGGGTGAACTCATTGTATGCTCAGAAAATAGCCACTATTTTCTATTTCCCTTTTCTCTAGTCTATTTTCTTTCACTTGCTTTAGAGCAGTGATTTTCAACCATTTCGATTTCCCAGCACACTTGAACCTACAGTTAAATTTCTGCAGTATGCTTAACTTATGTTGATCAATAACAAAACAAACAAAAAAGAATATACTTACTATGCTTTGAACTTCTTTCAAAAACAGTTTCATTAGTGATCTTTAAAATTTTTTTGCAGCACACCCAAGACTTTCTCACAGCATACTAGTGTGCTGGACACACCGGTTGAAACTCACTGCCTCAGAGACATCATTGGAAGGTCAAAACACGAAGGGAGACTTCAGCAAAGTCTCTGGTTGGTTGGGAATCCTCTTGCTCTCCTTTCTCTTTCTCTTCCACACCCATTTAGCCTCCAAGTGTAAAGACCCCTCAATTGTGTTGCCCCTTTCCCTTTCCATGGATAACTCTCAATTTGATCTTCATTACTTCCCCTCTGGAAGGTCACAGTTGCTTCCTGGGATTTTCTACTTTGCTATGTTTTCCTGGTCTCTGGCTCATTTTCCACAAGGCAGATGGGGTCATCCTCTGAACACATACTGCAGACCTCCCCGCTACCGACTGACTTTGGCTTCCTCCCAACTCACACTTCAGTCTGGGTTCCACACTCCCCCCTCACAGACCCCCTCGGCAGGCCTGAACCCCACTTCAAACACCCTACTCTATTCATCCTCCCCACAGGGATCTAGCATAATGGACCTTTTCCTTCGTACCCTACACCTCCACTGCACTAAATTAGACTCCTTGAAACCCACCCCACATGCCTCTCCCTATTGGTCCTCCCCGATTTCTTCTCCTGCTCTCTGCACCCCACAGCATAGTTTGTCCCTCTGTGGCAGGATTTATCAAATACAAGACAAGCTTCAGTGACAGACAGAAGGTGAGCAGCCACAGGACAGGAACTGCCCTCTCCTGATGCCTTCTTGGAAGCTGGGGCATAAGAGACACCCAACCAACTCTGGGGAGGTGGAATCTAAGTGACAACTGTGATTATGAAGACGGCAATGATGTGCCAAGAGAGAAATGGAGGAAAAGAGATAATACACCAGATTTTCTGACAAATGCTACAAAAAGCTGTTTACAGCAACCTGGAAATTATTTTTATTAGAACATGTTGAGGTTAAGGTGGTAAAACTCTGAGACTACAGCTGTTGCATAATGAGCCTTTCCACACAAAGCCAAGCAACATACAGCACGGCAGTGGGCCTAGCAGAGACCTTAAACTACTTTGCGTTATGCAGGATATGTTATACGATACTGGGATCTTTAGAACTGATTCAGTTCCCTCTGGCAACAGATTTTAGAAAAAGATTCGTATTCTGATGAAAGGAAAATGAAATCCACTTACCGATACAATAGCCGGTTGTCATCTTGATTTCAAAGAGCGCAATGCTGTCTGTGTTTCCCTGTCCTAGTACACCTTCTATTAAAATCTGCACAACAAGATGAGGTATTTATTAACCAGTGTGGTGTAAGCGTTCCTAACTCTATATGAAATCAGCACATCGTACCCTAGAAATGCATTAATGTCTACATGATCTATGTGTTTATGATTTAATAAAAAAATAATAAAAAATAAAATGAAATCTGCACAACACTAGGGGAAAATGGGGAGTTAGACTTCAAAACATCATGCTTCCTTGGTTCAGAATTTCAGCTATTAGTTAAGAGTTGTTCAGCAATTCATGGCAAAACAGGATTGTTAGTTCCAGCTAATTGCTATTGGATACCACTCTTATGATAGACTTTGTTAAAAGAATGTGTTTATATGTGTGTGCACAAACACATTCTCAGGGTTTAGACAAACACATCTCTCCAAGTTCTTAGAACTTGAAAGTAAGCCAGATGGCCAATAAAAGCTGAGTTAGCAGTTTTCTCTCCTATCACGTCTCAACCACCAGCTTCTCTAACGCATGTGGTAGCCCTGCGGCTGTGTCTCTGAAAGCAATAGCCTTTTCCTACGTGGTTTTAGCTCTGTGGTTTTGCAACTGTGCCAGTAGACTTGGGGTGTGATAAGGAACTCAGACCCTCCCATTGTGCCTTTTGTCAACCACTGCCAGACACGGAGGGACTCCAGGCAGACAGAAGGTCTAGGAGAGTAAAGTATTTCAAAAGTTTGTAAAGGAGAAGAAGAAGGATGGGATAGGAAATTGAAGTATGGATTAGGAATGAAGGAAGTTTTCACGAAGGCTCCACTGTGTCCTCAGTGACATATTCTCAATACACATCACACTTCACGGCCTCCTGTGTCCAGGTCCCATCCTTCTTCCTTCCTCCAATCCACACCCAACTTCATCTTCCATCCTCTACCTTCCTTTTCCAGAACCTGTCAAGGAACAACTTCCCTCTTTGAAAAGGAAACAGAACATGTCCTTTAAGTATGTTTGCCCTTCTGAAGTATTTTCATTTTCTCTTTTATTACAGTTAATGTTTTATTCAAAATTTGTAGCAAATAACCATTAACAAGCTAATATGAAAACATACCACACACAATTTAGAAAAATGAAACAAAAATTACAGGAAATGAGAATGCTCCCTAAAGCCACATAAAATCTATTTCCATAGAATAGATTGATTTAAGCCCCATTTGGATCCTTACAGAAGGCCCATTTAAATAGATGGGAATGAAACCTGGGAAGAAGCTCTTTGAAGGAATAAACAAAATGTTCATTTGTATTACTAATATTCTTCTATGGTACATCTCCTTTGAAATGCCACATTCTAATACAGGAGATAACTAACTCACCACCAGGAATTTTCATAAGATCTTGAAACAACATAAACTATCTTCCTCTCAAACTTCACCTACTTTGAATTTCTTGGCACTGTTTTGCAAATCCAAGCTGGCTATGAGCCAGCTGTCTGAAGGTTCCTTAGCAGACCAAAGCAAGCGATCAAAGCTTTCGTCTTCAAATCTCATGTAGAGGTTCAGCCGGCTGGGATCTGACGGAGACCCCGATGATGTTATCTGGTAGACCAGGCGGAGACAGCTCCATTCCTCAGCCTGTAGATCAGAACTCAGAAGAACAGCTTTCTCCCCTTGCTTGGCAAAGGAGGTGTCCACATAAACATAATGGCCTGGAAAGAGAAAGGAACACAGGCAAAATATCAATCTTTTGTTTGCAACTTGGAAAAATATACAACCGTGGTCCAGTAAATCTCTAGGCAGACAGAACCTGCAGATGCATTTTGTTAGCCCACCCTGATACCGGATTATTGCCTGAACACCAGATCTCTGGCCTTTTGTGAAAAAATTAGAAAGTCTGGCCACACTGAGCCCACTTTCCCACATGACACCAAGAGGCTGGTGCTGAGTAACACTGCCTCTTCAGAGGGAGGCATGTGGTCTACACTTTGCCACATTAGCCATCACTCCCTTGAACTCCTGACACCGCAGCCCAGTGTCTATAGACTGTCTTCATCTCCCTGGGACCTGTGTCATGTGAGCTGGGTGTTGGAATACAGACAGGCAGCATGAGTAGGTGAAGTCAGCATAACATGCACTCCCACACGTCCTTCCACAGCTGCTCCCGACCCAGTGACTCAACCTGCATTTGACTGGCAGTATAGTAGACTGATGCATATAGGAGATTGGATCCTGGGAGCTAGGCATACAGAGTTCATTGTCAGATATTGTTTTAAAGCCAAGTGTAAGATTCTTCTCCCTAGACTCTCTCATGTTCTCATAACTAAATGAGAAAACATATGCAAAACATGTAGCACAGGGTAGGGAAGGTGTGACACTGTGGGACAAACAATTATCATTTCCTTCTCCTCCATCCCCTCCTCCCTTTTTCCTCTTCTTCCTTCCCATCCCCCTTTCCTCTCCTCTCCCCTCTCCCTCCCCCTTTCTCTCTGTCCTCCTAATACTGACAAATGGTGTTCTGTTGGCTGCACGGGGATGTGCAATAGCATTTCTAGGAGGAAAAGGGAGGCACAGAAGCCAACAGCTCTAACTGGAGCCCTGCAAACTCAGCTCTGGCTGTCTGGCTTCCTACCAGTGACCCCGATGCCTGCGAGTCTGCGGGGACCCCGGGCCTTTCTGGACTGTGGACCCTAATGCTTGCTCAATTCATGGCCAGCATCTAACCTGCTGTGTCTCAGCCTGTGGCTGCCCATCCACCCCACTGCTAGCTCCTGTTCTCCCTAACACTGATCTCTAACTAGAAAGGCCCTGAATTGCCCTTTGTTTTGTTTAGTATTTTTCAGCCCCTCTTCCCCTCCCATGCTTGTTGTCCTAAACTCCCATCCTGACTGGATCCTTATCTCTGTTGCCAGTAGCAGCAGCTCAGTGGATGACCACCCCAGCGTTTGGAACACAGTTAGGGTACTGTCTTCAGCAAGCCTTGCTTGCTGTCTGAAGGGTTTCATGACTGAGCTCTATCTCCAGCTGGCAATCCTATTAACATAGCAACTACCCACTGGGCACAAATAGCAACTGCTTCTATATGCAAACCCAAGTGCCCCCGTGGCCCTTACAGCAATCGCCACCACCACCACTACCTGCTATGTATAAACGACACTCACTATCAGCCAGGCCCAGGCATTGTTCTAAGTACTACATATACATTTCCCAGAATGGGGGGGCCTGTTGGATTTTATGGTCCTAAGCTGGAGTCCTTTTTGAATAAAAGTGCTTCTTCACTGTGGCATGTGCTACTAGCCCCCCAAAGGCACTATAAGCAGGCTGTTAATGGGGTGGGGTGAATTTGGGATTGGGAAAGATTCTGTAAACACTTCAGACCTTTGCTAAGGAAGTAGAGAGTTGGGACATGGAGTATAAAAGAAGAAAGAATCAAAGAAAGTCCTCCTAATACTGAGAAGCGGTGTTCTGTGGCTGCACAGAATGTATAACAATGCATGTTTATTTCTATGAATAAAAGGGAGCCACTGAAGCCAAGAGTCCTAACTGAAGCCCTTTGGCCTCAACATTGACATAAAACACCAACTTGCCTGCTACACAAGGAGACCCGGTTCTCGTGGGGTATTTCCTCAGTTTCTTCCATTCTCCCCCTCCCCCTTCTGTTCCCATTCTATAAGGGAACAACCAAAGCAGTGCTCTCAAACCTGAGCCCAGAGTTATATACAGGGCTCGTTCAGATCCCTGGGCCCACCCCTGCAGTGATCCACCCAATAGGTCTGCAATGATACAGATTCTAACAGATTGTACTTCTGGAAAGTTCCAGGTAATGCTGTCACTGCTGGTGTGGGGCTCATGCTTTAAGAACCCCTGATCACTGTAAGGTATGACAGAACACAAGGCTCATGCTCTAGGCACCTCTTGTCTCCCAAGAGCAGGCTTTTAGGGAGAAGATAATTCTGGAAGGTACAATGCAAACTTAAGTAAATGTGTGCTATAGCAGGCTCACTGAGTCCATATGCTGGAGATTATTTTGACTTTTCAGTGAATGCCATTAAAAAATTCTTCTGACATTCTCTCTCACTAGATCAGATTTTACTGTAAGCCTATGTGAATGTTCTCTCTGAACGGTTCTGGACCCAAAGATAAAATCATTCCAAGATGCAAGATGAAAGGAAGACGGAGATCCAATTTGTGCAATTAAAGTCCTTCCTAAAGCTTTTAGGAAGGAGGCAAGATGGCTGACTGAAGCCAGCTTTCGGCAGAGGGTCCCATCCAGAGGGAGAAATAATGGCCAGAAATAACCCAATAAAGTGGAAGATGGGGAGCTGAGCTGAGAGAGAGGATTGATAGGTTCACATCACTCCTGCTACAATAAGCTGAGACTCCAAAGGAACAAATTTCAGGTACAAAACCCATCTGAAAGAGGACAGGAATCCTTCCCCTCTTCCCCCAGGAGAGCAGCTTGAGGTGAGTAGAGAACAGAGGACCTTTTGTTTCACCAAAGGGGAGCCAGCAACTGAGGGCTAAGACTTCCTCCATGGAGAGATACTTTTGGTCTCTTGCCTGGGCCAAAAGTTGATCTAATATTCTCCCTACCTTCCTGAACTCCCAATCCATCCCTCCCCTCTTTTCTGGCAGTCTACCCCCTGCCTGCAAAATCTGGAGTGTTTGGCAGATTTTTGCTAGGGCGGGACACCTCATAAGCTGTGGGGCAGTTGTGCTGAAACTATAACTTTAATAGAGGCAGGGAGTCATAAGGAGAGAGAGACTTGCCCCCACGTTGGAAAGAACTCTTGGGACCCATGCTACTTACCATTGGGAATGCAGCCCACTGGTTCCCTGGCTTGGTAGCCCATGGTGGGCAGCTAGGCTCCCCACGGGGCTCCTGTGACCAGTGGCTGCAGCAGCAACTCTCACAACCTGAAGCCCACAGCCGGTGATCCCACCTCGAGTCACCTATGAACTGCTGCCCACAGCCAGTGAATCCCAACATGGTCCTGCGACCTGTGGGCCCCACAGCTGGTGACACCTGCTTCTGGTTTCCCACCTGGCTCCTGCAGCCTGAGGCCAGGGGTCAACAGATCTTCCCTCTGGTTTCCGCCCAGCTCCTATGACCCTTGCAGCCAGTGGCAACACCTCCAGCTCCCCGCTGGCTCCTGTGACCTGCACACAGCAGCACCCCAGACCAGCGGCACCACCCCTAATAGTGGCGGTCCCTTTCCTGACAGTAGTGGCAGTTCCATGGCCCCTCCAACTGGGGTCAAATTGAGCTGACAGTGGACCCCCGCTTCCTAGATGCTGAAGACCTTTTGAACTCTCCCACCTGATCGGTGTTTGTGTTGATCAGGACAATTGGTTTGGAACTCTTGACCTGGGCTGATCACTTGGGGACCCACCAAGATTGTACCCTGGTTGTGTTTTTGTGGGAGTATGGATTCTCCCCTTCCAGTTGTCACCTGTGGGGGGGGGGCGGGGTGTCTTAGTTGCCTATATATATCCACAGCTGAGATTTCAGCCCAAAGCCATTGATTCACTAGGATTAGGCAGAGACTAGCTGAATACTGGTCAGCACCATCTAGCCCCATCACACCAAGCAGGTCCCCAGAGTTTCATGCTGTAGTTCTGAATGGGACCTTTGTAAAGCTCTAAGGGAAATGCTGCAATCACCAGTCCCAGTTCTTTGGTAAAGGACTGGTTAATGACAACTCCAGGAGCTCTCAATTCAATTTCACTTTGCCAGCTTCTTTAGCTAAACAGTGAAAAATAGACGTGGGGTGGAATCAGTGGAAACCCTCTGGCAACATGAATAATCAGAGTAGATCAACTCCTCTAAGGAATGATAAAGGAGACACAACAGAAGATCCCATTCATAAACAAATGGCTGAGATGTCAGAAATTGAATTCAGAATTTGGATTGCAAATAAGATTAACAGAATGGAGGTAAAGATGGAATTAGAAATTCAAGGAGCAATTCAAAAGTTGTCTCAAGAATTCAATGAATTCAAAGACAAAATCACCAAAGATTTTGACACACTGAGGTAAGAACTTGCAGCCCTCAAAGATCTGAGAAATATAGTAGAATCCCTCAGTGACAGAATGAAGCAAGCAGAAGAAAAGGATCTCTGACACTGAAGACAAAGCTTTTGAATCCTCCCAAATGCTCAAAGAGGAAGAGAAGTGGAGAGCAAAAACAGATCATTCCATGAGAGAATTGTGGGACCACTCCAAAAGAGCAAACATTCATCTCATAGGAATCCCTGAAGGAAAAGAGGATGGTCTGAAAGGCACAGATACTCTCCTCCAAGAGATAATTGAGGATAACTTCCCAAGCATGACAAGATATACTGAAATTCAGATAGCAGACAGTTTCGGAACCCAAGCACGACTCAACCCAAATAAAGTATCTTCTAGACACATTGTAATTAACTTCGCCAAAGATAATATAAAGGAGAAAATCCTGCAAGCAGCCAGACATAAGAAAATCATAACCTACAAGGGGAAGAATATTAGAATGACTGCAGATCTCTCTGCTGAAACTTTTCAAGCCAGAAGAGGATAGTCATTGACCTTCAATCTCCTAAAACAAAACTACTTTCAGCCCAGGATCCTGTATCCAGCTAAATTGAGCTTCTCCATCTCATTTATGATGGAGAAGTTAAATACTTTAATGACATACACACACTGAAGAAATCTGCCATAACCAAACCAGATCTTC